TCAGCCGCGCGACCGCCGAAGGCGCGGCCCGCGGCGCCGCTCGGGTCGCAGAGGATCTCCAAGTTCTCGTCGAGGTCCAGCGCGTCGACGAGCGCTCGCGCCGCGGCGGGCTCGGCGTTGAGCACGATCTTGAAGTCGTCGTAGCCGCGCTCGCGCAGCTTCGGCGCGTAGTGCTGCAGCCGCTGGCAGTACTCGATGGCGTTGAAATCGGCCGCGTAGGTGCCGAGCACGACGCACGTCTTCTTGTCGCCGGCGAGCGCGGCGCCGAGGTCGACGGGAGCGCCGCCGACGAGCTTGCTCGCCGTGATGCCGCTCAGCCGCTGCAGGCCGAACGCACCATTGCCGACGAGTACCGCTGCGACGAGGCAGCTAAGGGCGGCCACCATCGTCGGAGGCTGCTGACGCAGTCGATGCTCGCTGCTCACTTTTGCCGCAAGCATCGATGGTGCAGTCGCGCGAGCGCGCGATGACGGCCTGCATGCAGCGTCCATGAACGGATAAAAACGTCGAACACACCACCACTAACTGCGTTAACAGCGCTAGCATCAAGGCTCTGCAAAAATCGCGCCGCAAAAAGCAGCAATGGTGCACGTCCTGCTGCCCATCGTCGCGGGCTGCGTTGCGCCGGGCCTCAAGGCCGTGGGCCTCTTCGTCTGGGCCGACTGCTGGGCGCACGACGCCGTCGCGCTCAACGGCTTCAAGAGCTCGCTCGCGACCGGCCTCTTCGCGGCGCTCGTCGCCGCGCTCCACCGAAGGGCCGTCGCGGCCGAGGTCTGTCGGCTGGCTCGCGCTGTCGTCGGTCCTCGGCATCGCCGTCTCCGACACGCTCTGGCTCGAGTCGCTGCGCATCCTGGGCGCGAAGCGCATGATCGCCATCGACGCGACGAAGCCCTTCGTCGGGGCCGCGTTCGGCTGGCTGTTCCTCGGCGACGCCGTCGGCGCGCTCGGCTACGCGGGCGTCGTCGCGACGACCGCGGGCGTCTACCTGCTGAACCGCGCGGAGCCCGCGGAGGACGACGACGAGAAGCGCGCCGCGCTGCGCGACGAGGAGAAGGACGAGACGCGCGCGGCGGAGGAGGCGGTCGCCGCGGAAGCAGCCTCGTCGGAGGCGCGGTGGCGCCTCGGCTACGCGCTCGCCGTGGCGAACGTGCTCTGCGACGTCGCGGCGGCGACGATCACCGTCGCGCGGCGCCGCCGGCTCACGTCCGAGGAGGTGAACTTGATCCGCTTCGGCATCTCGTCCGCGCTGCTCGACGTTTTTTTGTTCTCTCGGCGGCTCCGGCGGCCGAAGGCGGCCGCGCCGCCGGCAATGACGCGCCGCGCCTGGCGCAACGTCGTCTTCGGCGTGGTCTGCGTGACGTTCCTGACGCCGCTGATCTACACGTGGACCATGTTCGTCCTGCCGCTGTCCGTCGCCATCACGCTCTCCTCGCTCGCGCCGATCTACTCGCTCCCGGTCGGCGTCTACCACGGCGAGCGCGCCACGCGCGGCGCGGCCGCGGGCGCGGCGCTCGCGGTGGGCGGCGTCGCGTGCCTCGCGTTCGCGGTGACGTAACGCGCGTGTCGTCCGACGGAGGCCTCGACGGCGGGCGCGGCGGTGGGCTCACCCCCGGCGCAGCCGTCCTCGCCACAGACGACGAGATGGCTGCCGAGCCAGCCCCAAAGCATCGGCGGCAGCTCCCGCTGCTGGCGCTCTTCGGTGTAGGCATCGGCGCCGGCGTCGCATGCGCGTTCGGCACCGTCCGATGGCGACGACACACGGGCGACGCCGCGCGGCGCCGCCTGCTCGGCGCCGAGGACGTGGACTGCGTCGCCGGCGCCGGCTGGGGCGGCGCCAAGTCCGTGGACCGCCTCGGCGCGCTGCAGCACGTGAACCACGACATCCCCGCGGCGATCCAGACGGGCCCGACCAAGGCCTGGCTCCTGGGCCACGGGCATTGGGACGGCCACCTCGACGCGACCCTGGTTCCGGACGCGTGCCGCGAGCTCGACGTCGTCGTCGCCAACTCCGCCGCGGACCGCTGCCTCGTCGTCTCCTCCGCGGCGACGACGGCCGTGCCCCACCACGTCACGCGCTGGGAGCGGTCGTCGACGCACGCGACGGGCTGGGCGACGATCTCGCGGATCCGCGAGAGCAAGCAGCGCATGCCCGGCGAGGTCACGCGGAAACGAGCGAGAACCCTCGCCGTGCGCTTACTCTCAAAATTGGACAACGTGCGCGCGGCCCTGGCGCCCGTGCTCGCGGCGGCCGCGGCCCACACGCCGC